TACATCTTTGGCGATTCGGGCTATGTCGGTTACTTTGGTTTTCCTGCTGATCTCTTTAGTTCTGATTCGATCACGTAATTTAAATTGGACACGGGACTATTCCCACCCCTCGTTCCCACCGCTGCAACTCCTATTTAGCCAGGATCTACAGCTTGACCGTCAATATCCCAACCAGTGAAGACCAAGTTTGTCCCGAGAGAAAGTTAAACTGTCATTGGACCCTCAATGAAGTTAACCAAAAGAACAAGTGATTGGATAGATTATTAGGGCTCGTTATTCACTGCAATCTAATTTTGCGGGATTTGTAGGTCGAATTTCAAAATATTTGACATAAATAACACAATTTTACATGACAGTCCGCTTGCTGTGGGAATGGGCCCTTACACAACGGGAAATTATTGTGAAAGTACCATATAGTATACCACCTCCACCTTTTCCCACATCCATGCCTCTCGGTACAACACCATAGCTTTATATTTACGCCACAATAAATTTCATGGTCTGTGCTGCCCTGAAATTATGGACCAGAGACAATAAGTCCTGCCGCAAGTAGTGGTTATAGTGCAGGATAAATTTTCGGTCAGTTCCCTTTGAGATCTCATTTTTCATTAGATATCCTTCCCATTTTAGTTTTGTATATAAAAATACTTTTATATCACTAGAAAATAGGTTGGAATAATATTTCCCGATTTGCCAATATATTTCTTTACTGCTCCGCCCAACTCTTCAGCTTTATAATATTATAGAGTTATAGATTTTTAATGATCATTATACATAGTGTGGAAAAAGATAGCTTACTTAACTAAAGAGTATCATGCAATATTTTTTTAATCATTAAGTTTTTTTAACTCCAGTCTACGTATCAGGCCAAGAACGGTAGAACTTTAGTTTAAGTAGTTCATAAATATGTTAATTCAGTAAATTCCTTTATTTGCATGGACTATTAAAATAGTGCTTACAAGTCGTCAAATATTAATGTTAGAGTTATAAATTAAACTTTAATTATTAAAGCATTCATACCTGAAGTCATGGACGTTTGTTGCTGCCCGCGCCAAGACGCAGTCTTCAAGTCAGAATTCTTCGACTCCAACCACAAGTTCTATGGAAACCAGCTCATTGTCACTTCACTTGCATAAAGAGTTTTTGCCAATATTCGTTAAAGCACTTAAGTTAAGTATACCTAGTGTCAGAATGAAAATAAGTAATATTGTAACATAAAACATTCCGCGCGTCGTTTTTATCCATTACACACTCGCACATTCAAAACAGTAATTCGTTAGTTTATAAAGTACCGGTTTTGGCTTAGGCACGTCATATCAGCCACATGCTGAAGCTGAATTGGGACAACCTATTTATTTATTTTCTTATGATTTTTTTTTGCATAGACTATTTTTAACATACAAATCGTCAAACATTTAAAGAAAAACAAATAAAAAAATAAAAGACTAATAAAAAAAGCCTTTAGTCCTTTTTGCCCTACCAGTGCTTCGAGACCAACATTTGGCAATTTGGCAAGTCTTGTGCCGATTCTTGTATTTTTTGGCACTGTAATATTATTTTCATAATACATTTTGTTTTAATTGTTATCAAACCGCATTTCAACGTCTAAACCATTATGGCGGATAAACAAAAAGGTACATTGTAAATTGAAATATCAAGCCAGATGTATCGCAAAAAACGGATATTTTTTACGTTTCCTTTGTACAGACCCCTTCACTTGCTTTTTATTATTTTTTAAAAGGGATCCGTGGGCGGGGACTTCCGGACTTATTCACTTACTTTTTGGGGGCTCTTTTAGAGCTTTTTTGTGTGAATATGACACTTAAGAGTAGGCGTGAGGGTATCGCAGATGGCGATTTTTGTTTGTCAATGTCGCCTTTTCGCTTTGGGAATAGTCGTTTAATTCCCAATTTTGCGATGGGCCTACGACATCTACATCATTAGGCTACCTCGAAAGTAACTAAAGGTTTATTGTTGTCAAAGGTAGTTCATAAAATAATTTGTCTAGAAAACAGTAGTTTTTAGTATGCAAATATTAATTATATTATAGATTTTATGTTGTTTTAAATTCTCCGTTCTTTGGGTAACTGCCATGTCTTTGTAGGAGATTTATTTAAAGTTTTGTTTCATTTTATTTATATCTTAGCCTTAAGCCATGCCCAATCTTGACATTCAACGAAATGAATATATTTTCAATGGCTTTGTAAAACCGTGAAAATGTAACAAAATTCATAGGAACTTTTTTCATTTATAAAATTAGTAGGTAGAGAACAACGGAACGACTACTTAGTTAAAGAACTCTGATTATTATTTTTTATTTCTTAAGTAAAGTAAAAAAACTACATAATGAAGTCATAGTTACTTATTAATTCAATAGTGAATACAAAAATGTCGGATTCGCTTCAAAGCATGTGCTATAAATGAGATGTCAAAGCAACGTAATAATTGGTTCAATTTGCGACAACCTACGGTCAAGACGCTATGCGGTCGCTTTGACATAGTTTTTACGATTAGGGTTCTACATAGGTAAAAAAATTAATGTCTAGACATTTTACACTGCACCATCTAGTCCCAAACTAAGCTATCGCCCTCGTATTCACAATCATTACTATGAGGTCTCACAGCGCACGTGGACGCACAGCGTGACACACAAACCAATCACACAGCTCTATTCAACGTTGTGCGTTCGATTTGCTGCTTTACTTATGCAAGCATCGTTTAATAATTAACCCCTGGAACCCTAAGTGGTAGCAGTAGTAGTGGTGGTATTTATACAATAGAAATAAATTGTTATTAGGTCTCAACCTAATAACAATTTATTTCTATTGTATCGATACGCTGGTACTTAAAGGGCTACACTGGAAAATTATTTCTTATGTCACATTTATATTAATCACATGGGAATCAAATCAAATCAAATCAAATATATTTATTCATAAAACATAGGTACAAAGGGAATCGAACCCAAAACCTTAGTAAGCTACCTAAGTAGAGTAAGTAAACAATAAAAAGTGTGTCATTTAACAATCAAACCTAAGACCTTATCCCAGAACTCCAATTAACCGTCAAACAGCTAAGTTTCAAAGACGGAACCCATTAAAACAGAACCGTTCCACCTTGACCGATGATTGCTGATGCGCAAAGCTGTCAGCCTTACTCCGGTCATTCTGCGCAGGCGCCGTTATTAGAACAAACTTGTAGCGATATTTCAAAGTTTTCCTGCAAATAGCTGCAAGTATACCATGCTATTCGTGCAACCTAAGTAAGACCATTCATGCATTCGAGAAAGAGGTTAATCGTCGAATCCAACTCGGCTGGGCAGCGTTCGGGAAGCTTCGCGAAATTCTCACGTCCGAAATACCGCAGTGTCTCAAGTCAAAAGTATTTGACCAGTGTGTGTTGCCAGTGATGGTGTATGGCTCTGAGACGTGGTCGCTTACTATGGGCCTCATAAGAAGGCTCAAGGTCACCCAAAGAGCGATGGAGCGTGCTATGCTCGGCGTTTCCCTGCGTGATCGAATCAGAAATGAGGAGATCCGTAGGAGAACCAAAGTGACTGACATAGCCCGCAGAATTGCTAAAATCAAGTGGCAGTGGGCGGGGCACATAGCTCGAAGAGCTGATGGCTGCTGGGGCAGGAAAGTTCTTGAGTGGCGACCGCGAGCTGGAAGACGTAGCGTGGGCAGGCCTCCCACTAGGTGGACCGACGATCTGGTGAAGGTCGCGGGAAGTACCTGGATGCAAGCGGCGCAGGACCGGTCTTTGTGGAAATCCTTGGGGGAGGCCTTTGTCCAGCAGTGGACGTCTTTCGGCTGAAACGAACGAACGATACCATGCTAATTTTACGCCTGTATTCAGAAATATTACTATGAGGTCTCACAATGCGCGTGGACGCACAGAACCAATCACAGAGCCCAATTCAACGCTGTGCCTTCGATTTGCAGCTTCACTTAAGCAAGCATTGTTTGTGAATATGGGCGTATGTTACTAGATGACCCGAGCCTAAAAGTACGAGTACTTTTAGACATAATTATATTAATTCTTAGATGGTCTTCTTTGTTAGAAAACTTTTTGTAAAATAAATACAAGAAAAAAATTCCTTGTTTTTATCATTGAATGCCATAAAAACTTTAGGATTTATTAATAATTGTGATTTCAGATCAATAAATGATTTATTAAAAACAAAATTGCGAAATCAATTTTGCTGTTCTATTTTGTTTTGACAGATAAATTGGAATATGAAAAGTAGGTGCTCTCTTTATGAACTTACTGAAAACAAATGAATCGAATTCAAGTATCAAGGTGTCAAAATCTGCTCCTCTAACATCCCATCCGTCCCGCGACTGAGGGGTTAACAGCAAAAATCCCTTTGTGTTTACCGCCGCAAAAACCGTCCGCTGCCATCTGGTACGATTCAATAAGGGATATAATTGGCCAGTGATCGCCGTTTTAATTACATAAAGCTGGTTTTTCGCGGGTTAACAGAATAATGCTGATTGGGCTCCAATTAATGGGAATCGTACGGTTGAGTTTTTGAGTGATTGTTTTTGGAATTACGAGGTAAGTGTCTCTTAAAGTTAATTAGGTTAGGGCTCGATAGCTGATAAAGAAGATTGCTTTCTTACTTTGATTGTGATTATAATCACTTGACTCTATAATAAGGTAAAAGTTTGGTTTCGTGAGTATTAAACAATAAAAGAGTAACTGCAAAATTTTCATTTTTTTATAAGCAAATTAATTTGTTGATTTTTGAAAAACTATGTTGTGATTTGTTCTAAGTATGGACTCGTGCTTTAGAAAGCCATAATAACTTTTCCTTTTTATTAGAATTGAAGTCAACGTAGTCTCAAAAATAACTACTTATTTTTGAGTTTTTAAAAAGAAGATGATGAAGTGAAGTTGTATTTTTAAATTGTGATGTTAGGAAATGAAAACACAGAGTATCTTTTTTCTCTTTTTATTTTGACAAAAGAAATTAATTCATTTTTTTTCTTATTTCCGCTTTCCTTATAATACATTGTAGTAAAGTAATTATGCTATCTACCTATATCTATATGTATACTTCATTTTCCTATATATTACAAAAATATTTACAAATGTAATTCATCCCGTAAAGTCCCATTCTAGAAATTAAATTCTATATACTTTAGTCTATCCATAAAATAAATTAAAAAATCAATTTAAAAACATTTTTGTGTAGGTATGTTTTTTTTAAACAAAATATACATAAGAACAATTAAAAAATCAACTGTTACCAATGCGTTTTTCAGTTCCAGACATTTTTTATTTATTTAAAAAATACTATTATGGATAGATTTTTAGTATATTTACAAGTAATAAACAGATTGCATTAGGATAAAAATATAGCTAGTTTTGCATTCAGAACACAATTTTTGCACAAAAATAAAAATAAATACAATATTTTTTAGTTTAAACAATAGTTATTATTGTTCTAAAAACTTAAATTATTTATCACAACAGACTGGTTTGATTTCCCGTTTTGATATATTTTTAATGAAATTATTCTAAATAAATAAAAAATTTAGTTAAAGCTTAATTTATTTAATTTTCAAAGAATAAGAAACTTAATTTTGCTAGTTTTGAAAAGGCTTCACAAATTTATTATATGACATGATTTTGTAAAGCTTTTAAATTTTACAAATTAGTTATGAACAACTTGATGAAATCAAATAATATGGTGGTATTTAAACTTTTTTAAAGTCCTAACTTCAATTTGTGATTTTTTAAGTTTTGACACTTTTTTAAGACAGTGTAATTTATGATGCAAAGGCTATGAACAACCATTGAATTAATAACAATTAATTGCATTCAAGTTGTAATAATAAATTATAAGCCTTGTTATGTTATGTGTAACCTAAAAAACTGACCGCCGTTTTTATAACACCAAATTTTTACAAAATAAAAATATACCATACAAATTAAAATTGCGATAAAACAAAACAAATCTAATCAAAAGATTTTTAGAAATGTACTCACAGGATTGGTTGTTGATAGGTGTCAAACAGTCGCTCTGTCCTTCCTTCCACCTCCCAATACATAACATTTACATATACCGTTTTTTAATACTACCTAAACTATATTTAATTATAAAAAATTTACAATGCTTCATTTCATATTTCTATTAAATAATTTCTTAAAATTAATGTTGGTTGTGCCGATATTACGCAAAACGGGGGCAACGCCATTTTGTTTTGGCCGCCATTTTGTGATTCGTATTTTAAAGTGACATTTACATATAATTCGAAATTAGTGTTAGTTTTTTTCTTCTTCCATGGCTGTTAAACTGCTGGCCAGACCCTGTTAACAAAGAGAAAAATAAATAAATTATGTGTTAATGTAGAATAGACGCCTAATTTATATTAAAAAAAAACATTATTTTATTCGTCACAACACACATTCATTCGACACAACTAATTTTTTTTTTTTGGGAATGTGAACCGTCCTACTTCTGGGCTTCATTTAAACAAACGTAAGTATACTGTTTACTGTTGTTACGTTTAAAAAATAGGTTAAAAAAGCATTATAATGTGACTATAGGTCGTTTTGAGTATTGAAGCGGCACGGGAGGGGTGACATTGACATATTATGACGTGACAGGGCATATAAATCTGAAGCAGATTTGAAGTCTCGCTGACGTTTGACAGCTCAAAAATACCCTGCCGTGCCGCTTCATACCTCAAGTACCTACTGACTTAGTTAGGCTAGTAAATTCTTGACTAAAGTCTAAATTGTATCAGTGCTCGCAGTATAAAATACAATAATTTTAGTAAGTTAAATATATATAAACTGACCTAAATTTCTCCGTGTTTCACCTCCTCTCTGAATGCTGGATGGGCCAGGACATTTGACCGCAGGAAGACCGCAGCCTGCAACCGCAACAAGACAAAACTTACCTGCTAATCTTTTATTTCACGAAAGCTGAGGCGATGGCTATTAACTCTCACATTATCGTTCATACTTCTTCTTAGTTACCTTAAAGCTGATGTTCACGACTAATTCGTTGCAATTGTGTAGATTCTGCAAGATAGTGCTTAGTGTAAAAGTATGCTCTTGGTGCTCTGTCCAGCAGTAATCTGACGGATGGTAGGTACCTAACATAAAAGGCAAGGTGCGTTACCTGGTATACTTTGCTTCATCACCTGACTATTAAACCTGCTATGTCATTTATATACTGCAAGAATAAGACTGTCCCCAATTTACCAGAGGTTAATGAAGGTTTTAGTCGACACTCTCCATGCTGGCCAGGTGGATTGGGGAGGCCTGACCGTAAGGCTAGCGCGTTAAAACTATTTAACAACGAAAACACCAGAGCCGAGCCGAGGTGGTCTGGCCAGAAGTACTGCGGCACATACGGCAGTTGCAGCACCGCCTGACTATAAGAGCTTACACGAGAACAAGAACACCAATGCCCTTACTTACCTTATCAAGCCATGGTGGAGGCACTGCATGACATGGATTTGACCTACACTCTCTATACTGGCCTGAGCGTAAGGCTAGTGCGTTAAAACTATTCAATAACAAACACACCAAAGCCCTTACTCACGTTAGCAAGCCGGGGTTGTCGGCCTGGTACCAGGAGTACTGCGGCACGTACGGCGGGTGCGGCTGTGGCGCCGCCTGGTGGTGGAGGGCGTGCGCGTGCGCGCCTTTCATGTCCCACGGGCCGGGTGGCGCGCCCTGGTGGAGGAAATTAGGATTCAGTAAGGAGAAAAGCTGATCATCGACAGGTAATTTGGTTTAATATGGAGAATCATTCAGGTCATTTAATCTCCAAAGCCGGATCCAGACGAGTGTAACGCGTAATGTAATCTACCGTGTAATGTAATTGAAATAGTATGGGCAGCACTTTACATTATTGTAATGCTCGTAGTGCCTCCACACGTAGAATTCGTGTTACATTACACCCGTCTGAACCCGGCGGCTCAATTTCTCTCAATCTCTAATTTACCAGAAACATTCGTTTCTGGCAAAGATTTGACCTGCACGTCTCCAGCCAGATGATTATCAATATTGCATTTAAGACGCTAAAACTATTTCAAACAATTTTTAAAACTTGAAAAATGTATTGCTCCTGGTTTTGATTGATTGATTTTGTCAAGTTTTAATATTTACTGGAGACGAGATCTTTGCATTACGCATCCTGATTGAGAGAACATAACCGACTGGCGATTAATCCATAGCTAGAGAACCTAAAATAAGTTTTTCACACAAAATAACTAGCAACCCAACTTAATAATTGAAATATAAATCTGATACGCGAAATAACACTTCTTTTATTATTAACATAAACTTAATGAAATCAGCAACTGTTTCATATGATCATTACACAGCTTTACAGCCTGTAAACAATGTGATTATTTAAAAAACAATAAACAATTATACGTACTAATCAAACTAAAATCATAGGTGTGGCCGAGCAGTCACGCGCGTAATAAAGTTAAAAGCCACTATTACTTAAATAATAGTTGGAGATACGAGTATACACGCATGTTGTAAATATTCGAATACTATGTGTACATTAGTAGGTAAAGTAAACGTTTACTAAGCTTAAACAAAGAAGAATAATGAAATATTTGACTAAAAAAATATTATGTCTGATTGGGCACCAAAATTTTGAGATTTTTGTATCAGTTAATTATAATTATTTTTATTGGTTGAAATATACGATGTATTAAAAGAGTCACAAATTAAATTATTGAAAGGTAAAAAGAAACAAAAGTACTTGATTTGTTTTTCAATTAACCTATGTTTTGTGTTGTCGGAAAGTGGGCGGTAGTACCAGAGTGAGATTTTAGCAAATTGCCTTTTACTTGCTCATAAAATAATTTATGACTTATTTCACTGTGGCACTATCTTCCCCATTTTTGTACTTTTTATGAGGTAACACACAATTTTTTTTTTCCATTTTGTCCATGGTTTTGCATGGTTTTCTAAATTTTGTGCTTTTAACAATAAAAATAGCTTCTAAACTTTCCTCAAAATGTCAGCTAACTAACTGATGTATTTCAATGTTTTCTCTCTTTTTTAGCATTTACCTTCAACATCCAAGGCATAGGGCGCCCCCTGGCGAAGCCCTCTTCCGACTCAGCATCCTCCGATCGGTACATACCTTCCTAACGAGAAAGGGGCTTTCCTCAGATTCTGGTCTTACTTAATAATAACTACATAATCTACGTTTTATAACTAAGCTGTCTATTTTCTAACGGATATATTTTTGCTTAAACAGCTATGTAATATAGGTTCTACTTTGTGCAAATAATTAAAGAAAATCATTTTTTCCGGAACATTATCGTAAACCTAAAGCTAATAGTATATCATCAATATACTAGATGCAAATTTTATCAAAACCCATGATAACATGTTTAATGTCTATTCACACAGTACCAGAAGAATATTATAAAATAAAGATAATAACACACTTAATTCGTACGTGCGGGGCGTACGTGGGGCTTACTGCCAGTGCACGTAGCAATGCGCAATGGGAATATAAGTAAAACAAAATGTCTTAAGTAATTTTCACACTTAATTAGTACGTGCGGGGCGTACGTGGGGCTTACAGCCAGTGCACGTAGCAATGGGTAATTTAAGAAAACAAATTGGCTTAAGACTAGTAGAATTTTAGAAGCTTAAGGTGAATAGTGTAAAATGATGAGACACTTACGTAACCGACCCGCGGGTCCCACGACTGCTGGTGCGGCGGTTTGACGTCACAAGACGTGCCGTCCGGCGACCGGCCTGCCGTCGGCTGTAACAATGTCTTTTGTTAGTTATAACGCTTGGAAAAACTTAATAATATGCTAATTATATAACATTGTAGATCAGAAAAGAGATGTGAAACATCAGTAGGTAGTAAAAGTATCATATTGCTTTGGGGCGTAAGCGGGGCGTATGCAAACATACATATTTTTTAGAAAAGAAAGTACTGAACTTTATGTTTTAGGAATTATGGCAGACTTTCTTTACTACAGCGTGTAGGTTAGTAATTGTACGCCTTGTTTACGCCACTTAACAATATAAATATTATTAAATATACCTTTATCTTTTTTTAACACATTGTTAATTAAAAGAAAATATTACCAAGAAAATAGAAATTTAAATTACAATGCGTGCGTGTATTATAATTTCATCTGAAGAGCGATTATTATTTGTATACAGAAAAAGATAAATACATAGAATCACTATGTAGCCTCAATGTCTTAACTATGGGGTTGATGTGGGTATCATTTCGATAATGTATTTTTCAAGACAAAGCAATAAAAGATGATTACTATGATGTGACGTCGTACGCATACTAGACAAAAAGAAGTGCAACTCAAAATGCTTCTATTTATAGGAATAGCAAGTAGTTCACGCTAATTTTGATGCAGATTATGATAATCGCAATAACTTGGTTTTTAATTATTTTGAGTTGTGCTATCCTTCAACTAGGCGTGCGGTATGTAGATTAGCAATAATGTCGAAAGTTTGAAAATGCGACATTTTGGTAATAATTAATTTGTAATCATTGTTAATTTTACTCGACATTGGCTAAAATGAAAGTCTTATGATGCCATGATCTAAAAAAATGTGTGAGCAAAATTTTTAATCTCATATTTTTCTTACATATCCGACCTTTACGTCCCAAGCTGGCTGCGGGGGTTGCTTGACGTCCCACGGCGTCCCTGTGGGGGACAGCCCAGGGGACAACTCCGAGACGGGGGTAGAGCTGGGCGTGGGCGAGTGGGCTTGCGTGGGACCCCCCGACTGGTACGCCGAGGGGGAGTGTTGGGAACCGCTGGAGCTGCCGCCGCCACCTGGGGGTAGAATGTGGTTTGTTATTAGGGAGATGAATTAGTTGAATAAGGGTTGTTAGGCAGTCTTTATTCAAGATTCAATTGTTTTGAGAAATTATGGATGTCTCTACTTAATACCAATTCAATATCAAATTACCAATTTGATATCGAAGTTTTTTTTTAAGCAAGACAAGGCAGGTATTTTACCGCAATCTCATCTGATGCTAAGTGAGATGCAGTCTAGGATGGTACATAATATCTGCCCCTATAAGTGTCTATTCACTCTCGCCTTGAAAAGGCCCGTGCCAAAAGGTGAAATCTATTTTCGAGGTGTAATGTGTCTTTATGTCGAACTAATCACAATTTAGAAATGCTCTTGATTTATGAAAATCCTTAGTGTTTTTTACGTGACAGTCACAAACATCTAGCCAGCATGGGGAGTGTAGAATAAATCCTCCATTTGCCTTTGATAAATTAGAGAAGGTCGTGCTCCTTACTAAGACACCTTGAGGACTACAGATTTTTATCGGCCTATAGTTTGGTCGGGCTGTTAATCAGTATGAACATTTGTAGAAACTGCGCACATTACACCGATTTAGTGTCGTCCGATTCCACATAAAAATTAGATATGGATTAAACTGCTGTCCGACTAAAAGTCGATAGTTTGCGAGGAGTTTTTGACCTGCTGGGCTAGAATGCACGTCGTGATAAAAACTTATCGATGATTTTAGCCAACAAACGCTTATCGCGTAAATCGATAAAATTGCGCAATAAAAGCTTATCGCGGCGCGCGTCCTAGGCCTACTGATGATGTCGATGATGATGATGATGGGACTCACCGTGTAAAAGCTGGTTATTGCTGGGCGGGCTCCCGGGCGGAAGGCCGAGGCTGGGCGGCGGCGCGCCCACTTGGGCGGCCTTCATCATCTTCTTGTATTTGCTGCGCCGGTTCTGGAACCAGATCTTGACCTGCAGACAAAGAGAATGGTTAGCAACACATTCACCGCCTACAAATACAATTCGTTCGTTCGTTTCAGCCGAAAGACGTCCACTGCTGGACAAAGGCCTCCCCCAAGGATTTCAGAAAGAATAATTAGGCATAATTCCTGAAAAAGCGAGGTTAGTTTTAAACTTTCATGGTCACTATCATAAATATTATGACGGATTGCTACCATGTACCATAATTTTGAGTTACTTCGTGACCATGGCGCTTGCAACAGTGCCGAAATATCGGAAACTCAACATTAAGGTAGGTGCATGGTAGCAATCCCGTCAGTAATAATAATTAAGCGAGGTTAGGTTCCTGAAACCAACTCGGTTAGGTTCGTTTCAGAAGCTAACTTAATGAGACCTTACAAAATCTAGGTTAGGTTTCATGACAAACCTAGTATGTGAATAGTGACAGAAAAAATAGCTACCATTTTGGTCCAATTAAAAGCAAGTTTTTCATAGAATAATATAGTTATTATTTTTTGCGTTGTCACCATTGTAGATTAAAGGTTTTTTTCAAAGAAAAAATATACACCTGTACAATTTTTGTAAAAACACTCTTTCGATATGTGTAAAAATGTATTATTGCAAAAGTTTGAGAGGTCCATTGGAAACCATAGGATAGGTAGCCACTCGAATTTAATGAGTTTGAAATTGAGTTTCAGAAATTAAAACTTGTGATATAATTTATATGCGTTTTCATCAAAGGCAAAGTTAATTTTAATTTACAATCACACAGTCACTATAATAATTGCCGTATCAAATTTTATTTGAATGTTAATTATTATAATTACTCCATCATAAAAAATGTGCTCGCCTTCCCATTGAAAAACGTCTCCATTTTTCTCAATAACTATTTTACATAAAGCAGATTTCTTACAACTATCGATAAAAAAACATCATTCATTATTCATCGATTAGAATATTCAAATCGACTAAGTCAATCGAGAAATCGAAGCGAATCAATGCGGTACGCACAAACGGACAATATATGCTTAATATATATATATATTTATATATAAGGGTCGCGTGCGGAAAGGCGGGACTAGCGGGGGTGACGTGCCGTTACTCGCCGTTACGGGAGGGATGGGAAAAGTCGATGAAAATATCGATATACTTAATTAGGTTTTTTAGATGGATGATAACAACAAAAGGATGTTCTTTTTTTAAAATTAAGTATATTTGACGCAAGAAAAACATCAGATATTTTTTGTTTATAAAAACTTCTATGAAGGTATTTTTCGTAATATCTATTGTATTTTAAAAGACGTATTTTAGCAATTAGTAATTCTAGCAATCAAGTTTCTTATATAAAATTGTGCAATGACATTAATCAATAATAAGAAGAAATGAGCCTACCAGAACGTTATTCTTTATTTTGATTATTTGTAAAAAAAATGCGTAAATAGCGAAAAGACAATACAATCTTCCGTTATTACACTCATAAACTTGTTAATCTGGTACAATATCCAATTAAATCAAGAAATTACTTTTCTAAACCAATATACAACAACGTCTTGCTCTCCTATCATAATGGCATTGTATAATTTATCATATAAACAAGTAATTATCCGTATATAATAACAACAGTGACTTAATTATTCAATAATACCATTCCCTGTAAGCAAATTGATCACTACCAAGAACTGTTTAATATACAGGGCGTAGCCTAAAGTTGTGTTAATAAAGATATAAAAAACTTTATGCTGATATTGACAAGTTACGTGTATAATAACGAAGATTAAAAATACTGTCGGTGTAATAAGCGAGGGTGACATGCTTGATTGTGTTTTTGGTGTCATTTGATATGCAGAAGACCTTACAAGACAAAATGAGAATGAAAATATCGATAAAGTAGCAATAAATGTTGGTTTTGTAAGTAATATTATAGTTTTTGCTAGTAGAAAAAGATACATTTTAGGGGCGTATCTTGAAATGGTGCTCAAGTATTTTGAGAGAGAAATCTATGATTTGCCATAGTATTAAAATTAAACCAATCGAAGGATGAAACTGCGCTTGGATTTTAATCGACTTTTGAGCTATGTATAAGATGTCACGGTTAGAAATTGTAATGTCTCAATCTTAGGATGTTCTAAACTTGTAGACTTGCCAAAGAGGAAAGAGAACTTAAACCTTTAAATATGAGTGGCATGAATGTTATAGAGGAAAATTTATGATACGCAAGCTACAGTTGATCTAGCCAGAGAAAAAGCTGATCTTTTTATATTCTATTTTAATGCCTTATACTATGCAGAGCTTGTACTAAGTATAGTGTTTAGATAAACATTTCATTATTAGAAAGTAACGAAAAATTATTTTCATTTACATTTGCACCCTGCAGGAACCGAACTTATAACAGTCAGTGTTGTAACAGTTTACCAACAGGTCAGCCAACCTTTATCGATCATTCCACAAAAAAACTACACAACACACATCCTGTATATCTTTATGTCAGTATGTCACATTGGACCCGACAAGCGAGATTTTAATATCATGTCAGGGCAATCATTACTCGTGTAAATAATAACTACAAAAATGTCACTGGCAGATTATTAAATTAGCCAGTTCAGAAATCGATCAGGTTTTTATAACGGTACATTAAGGTAAACACAGTGGACTCTTATGCGGTTTGTATTAGGGTTTATTTTGCAATAAAAATGATGTGGAACAAGGAAGATTGATGGTGGATGAAGATGTCAACTTGATACAGTTACCGGTATGTGATTTTGATGGGAAATTGATGTTCTGATTAAGGTCTAATACAATGATTATGATCGGATCAAACCGGTATGGATATGTTAGGGCATGATGCAGGTTTTTAAATTAACACATCAAAGGAGATTACATAAGTTAATAAACTGAACCGCAAAGAAAAAGGGTCGGTTAGAAAATATTCATCTTCAAAAGTACCTACCAAGCTTTAGGAAACAAAAGTACTAGAAAACTACGCCTTTTTATTTAGTTTAGATCTATTAAAAATAAATAAATACATACCTTGAATTAGTTTAGCCTTCTAATAACTAAACTAACGACTACATCGATCATACCGAAAAATTCTGTGACGAAGTTAACCCGAAATTTTTTATCGATATCGACACTTAACCGCACTACCCCGCGCCCATTCACCCCCTCCATTAGTAGGGTCACGGGGCGCGCGAGTTAACCTCTGCCCAACTTATTGTGTTGGTATTAGAGTTCTATTCGGTTCACCCCTAGAAATGCGTGCTGTCAATTTTGTAAAAATGGCCAGTATTTTTTTGTTTTGAGGGAACCTTTTTTTTCTTATTTGGGTTTCGCGGATTGCTTGATATAATGCGTACTGTCAAATTGTAATAAAATGGCCAGTATTTTTTTATTTTATGACCAACTTTTTTTTATATAAACGGATTAAATTTGTACCTATCCCAATGTTTGTGTTATTGCACACATCAGATTATAAATGAATCAATTTACCTAGAAACTGTCAAACATTATTTCCCACGCAATCCTTTTTTCAATACTATCCGATTTGAAAATGAATTCAAAAACAACAATGGAAACAATATTTTCATACAGAAAGCAATATTTATAATAAAAAAATCGTTATCAATCGTTACGGTGTACAGTTGATGTAATAGCACCGATTCCATACATTTCATTGTCAATACTTAATTATTGCGTTTCCAAAATTACATAAAAAACCTTGAAATCCGGAAAATGACACGTTATTGTTGATGTTTCCAAATATTTGACAATGGGTCTAATAATGGACAGAAAAGGTGAATATTATTTTACAACTAGCGACCTGCCCCTGCTTCGCATGAAATGTATTAAAATTATTAGATGTCTTTTTAACCGACTTCAAAAAAAGGAGGATGTTCTTTAACGCAGTTTTCAGCAGTAGGTAAAGACGTATTTCTGAAAACTGCGCTAAAATCTGTTAGGTAGTTTAAAAGATTTAGCGTATAGGGAGCGACTTCGTTTTAAACTATGTAAAGATAATGGGGAAAAATACCATAATGTCAAAAAATTTGCGTATCATTTTGCCAAATAAATACAAATCAGCTTGCTGTTAATTAAAATAGAAATAATTTCAATATTTTTTTAAACATTTACCCCTTTAGTAATCTGCAATCTACAAATTAACTAATGTTCTAAAATAATAAAATAAGCTTCAACGCGCCGCGATGTATGTTACTTTTTTAAGAATAAAATTTTTAGCTCATTTATTTCTTCAATAAGTATACATATTCCGCGGTTTCTACAGTCATCTGTCATTGTTTTGAAAAAATGGGGGGGAACAAAATGGCCGCCATATGGGGCGCGACCACAAACAAATTGTTTCCTCGCATTGTGGACTGTGTGTTGTCTGTGACACGAAGGTCTTTTAGCAGTTGGTGTGTATGGTTGTATGGTTGGGAAAAAAATGTCAAAATAATCCAGGGTGACACCGCGGGTCTATTAAACATATCGCGGATCTATTTAAAAAACAAAAAAAATCATTACGTTAATTTTGTTCTTTTTTCAAATATTAGAAGTTTGAAATAGCTTCATTTTTTAGATCCTGAGGCATAAAAAAGTTTGGAATCACAACTTTTTAAAGAAAGGAAATAAAAATCATATACACTCAACATCAAATAAACCGCACCTTCCGCGACACGAACTTTAAAGATTTTCTTCTGACACAATTATGGTACCCCAACAATATTGGTGTTATTTGAAAGCCCAATAAATATCCTTAAAGAAAAATACATTTCAATTCTAAATAAATGATTAACATATTACCATAAATGTGACTTGAAAATAGACCTCACTTTGGGCTCACCTCTGGGATCAATTAGACCAATTTTTATGGTTATAAAACCAAATAAAGATCTCACGTGTCCTCTTTAACAGATGGATAGCGATTAATCCCAACTTAACAGTTTTATAGTCATAAAAAATGGCTATACCGTAACTACCTATTTTTTGAAGAAGTGACTCTGGATCCTTATAAAGACACATTTTTGGGGTAAAAACCTTTCCTTTAATGAAATGAAGTTTAAAACGGCTTTGAAATGGTACCAACGTTGGTGGGAAGTGGGGATGCATACGTTTGATAAGTGCTTGTCGCGGGAGGTGCGATTTATTTGATGCCGAGTGTAGTTTTGATAAAAGAAAAATTCTTAAGTTACCTTATTAAGAAGGTTGCTTTGTAATTTTTAATGGCGTGAAATACTGAATTAGCCTAAGTAAATGAACTTTTTGTCGTTAACTATATTTTGCATACTAATTACACGCTAAGTTTACTTATATTTTTTGTTTTCAATAATTAAGAACGTTTTAAATTAATCTCATGCTAAGTAATGTTTTTTAAAAACACAATGTTTTTTATTATGTTTAAATGAAATTAATTAACTTTATTTGTTGACTGTACCACATTATGTAGAGTATGTGGTACCTAAATTATTGCAATAATTATGTCGTGTTTCTACATTTCAGATGCAAACTTTTACTCTCCTCCGTTTTGAAACGGGACTATTCCCACCTCTCGTTCCCACCGCTGCAACTCCTGTGTAGCCAGGATCTACAGCTTGACCGCCGATAAAAACCAACCAATGTAGGCCAAGCTTGTCTTGGAGGAAAGTTTGTTAACTTGTCATTGGACCCGCAACGAAATTAATCAGAAGAACATAGGAGGAGTTCGAAGTTAAGGTTCTTCCCTCCAGTGCAAAGCGGAGCACAAAGTTGAACTGTTATTGGACTCGCCACGTTTATCAGAAATACATAGAATATCTCCATATCGATAGCGATAATGAGAATGTCTCAATTTATTTTGGTACACCGCTGATTGATAGCGTTAAAAATCACCTATTCCCATGA